AGTATCCTTTTTTCATGTTAAAATATATTTTATTTTACACTTCTTTTTAGTTTTACAATTAGTAAGTTTTTTTCAAAGAAACGTATATTCATTGACCAGTGACAATTATTCTGTCATACCCATAAGCCCATTTCTCACAGCATTTTAGAGTTTTGCCTTCCCTTCGCTGGTTTGTTGCATTTACGTGGTCATGGCAACAAATTTGAGTAACTCATTAGCGCCTGGTCCGAAGATGAAAGTGAAGCTAAAGCCCAGACAATTGAGAAGATTCCACTTGAACTCCTCACCATCCCCCACCGCTCCCTCCGCCTTATTTTAACCTGACGCGCTGTCAATATTTATTGATATGGCCTGCACATATAAATACGATTTTATGTGATGACCAAAAACTGAGCGAAGAAACATGACCATTTTCACTATCATTTCGCTTCATTGTTATTGTTTTTGAGCGCTGCACTGTCTGCGGAATTTCTGTGTTTTGCTCATCCGAGAAAACCAGTAAGTTGCAGGTGCTGCTGCTGCTGCTGCTGCTGCCTGCTGACCAGTAAAAGTAACGCTCCTTCTGCCTGTCTGGCTGTCTGGTGGTCTGGCGGTCTGAAACTGGCCACAGTTGACAGACTTTCTTCTACAGTCTGTCCAGTTTTTCTGCATATTGTTTACTGTTAACCAGCGGCTTCTTCTTCGGGCCAAGACGAGACCAGATCGGGCCAAGACCAGACCAAGACCAGGCAATTAAGCGGAGCCGTTGCATCCGCCTGCAAACTTTCATAACTACAGCGGCCGCATCCTGCTCCCTTTTTCTGCGGTAACTCCGTAAAGAGGTCAAAGTGGTTGACCCAATGGTGCAGATGGCGCAACAGCAGACACAAACATTCTAATTAGCTCTAAAAAGAGACCTCGACGGCATCAAAAGCGTGCTATCTAGATACACAAAGGTGGGATGTTGTTGCAACAAGTCATCAAATGGCTTTTGCAGCTGGCAAATCCGTCTTCTTTATAATTACTGTCATCGCACCGAAGTGAGCTGGTGCTTAAAAAGAAGAAACTCGTCTCGCTCTTCGGCATCGTTCTACAAACAAGCTGTAAGTGCAAGTTTCTCGATGTTTTCTCTGGAGAAACGTCTGCTTATCGATAGATTTCTAATTAACAGGAAATGGCAGGGGCAGATCTAGGCAGTTTAAATTAAATAAAAGGGGTTTCAAAATGGTAGATGAATCTCTGGAGTTATTTCTGATTATTAATAGAAATACCTAAAACTAAATACGATTGATTCATTAAATTTTGAACTTCATCTTTAATTAAAAAAATATTTACGAAAATGGAAATCCATTAACAATAAATTTCTTGACGGAAAACGAAATTAAAAACGTTTTTTACTATAAATTTATTTACGATATTTTAAAAGAATTTTAATTGATCGAAAACCAATTGCCGTTATCAAAATTAGGCAAAAATAATGTACAAATATTTAATTAACTATTTTTAGCCATTTACAGCTTTTTGTGATTTAAACACCCGTTCTGCACTTTGCCAGCTAATGACATTTTTTTTTTACAAATTTACTTCACCGCAGCGCGTGATACATAAATAAAATTTACTTGCCATCTAAGAAGAAAAATCCAGTAAAAAACCAGTTGTTTAGAGCCAGGCGAAGACGACTGTAAAATGTAATGTATAAGCCGGAGATTAATTGCCATGTTTGGGGGGTGGTAAGTACAGCAGGTGGAAGGAGTATTAAAAAAATAAACAAAAATGTTTGGCAGATGCAACCACGAAGCAACCAGCACCAGTGGCTTGGAATTAATTATCTAACAATTCGGATTCGGAATGTTGCACAGATGTGTGCACGATAGTGTGTTTAGAAAAACACATTTCAAAGTTTTCGACTCCTATTTCTTTTGTGGTTATTTTGTAATATTTATTCGGCTATTGAGCACGTTTTGAAGGTTGCTTTTTGCACGCCGCACAGGTGAATTACATAAAAAAAAAATATAACCATTTGAAGAGCCTTAAATCATCATTAGTCATTCAGCCGCCAAAAGAAACCGAAAATAAATGCCTTTCTCCCACAATTTATATTAACAAGTGCCTTCCATTGAAATGTTCAATAAAGCAAGTCTTGCATAACAAAAGAAAACAAGTCACAAAGTACACAAAAATCAAAAGGCAAGCCAAAATGAGAAAAAAATGAGAGCTACTTGGGAGTAAAGTGCCCGAAAGAAGAGGTGAAGACAATTGGTTCGAAAAATATTTCAGCAGCTGCCAATGCCCTTACCCACGACAATTAGCCGAAGAAAAAGCCTGTCATATTCCAAACGTATTGGTAGTGCTTTAAATAGGAAGAGCAAATGTGGCAACGGAAATTCAAATTACAAAATTTACAAGCCGTGAAATAGGGGGAAAAAATAAACATGCAATTGCGCGTGGCCAAAACAAAAGCCCAAACCAAAAGTGTTATCAGGCGGAAGAGTTTCGAATATTGGCCAGAGGCCGATTGCTGGGTCGCAATATGTGTAATGCATGACCATGGACGACGGACGACGGACTCGCGCCTCGAACTCGGGCAACTTTCTCCATTAACGGCGAGTATTTATTAGTTTGGTATGCACACAACAAACTCTGGGCTTCAGTTGAGCTAGAAACGCTGGAGTACTTGAATGCCTCTAACTAATGGGAATATATGTGTGTACTAGACTGTTGCCAAAGTGGTAGAGGGAGTTTCTTGGCTTCGGATAGGTCAGGTTTTTAGGCTAGGTCAGTAACAGTTTTGTAATTTTTATTAGGTCACTGCTACAGTTTTTTCAAATGATTAAATGATTATGATTACAGGTTTTTAAATGATTAAACTGAAAAACAAAAAGAATTCCTGTTTCTTCTGTAAAATTTTATTGTATTTTTTTTTTTCACGTCAGCCAATTATCCCTTCAACTGTCTAAACTCTTTCAGTCAACAGCAATTTATTTCAACTAATTTGCAATTGATTTTGGATAGTTTAAGACAATTAACTTTTTTTGTGCAGGGAATAGACAATGCCCAGCACGCGTTTAAGTCATTTTTCATTAAATAGAATTTCAGCTTATATCATCTTATTTAAATCCGGATCTAATTGCGAGGCAGACAATATATATATACAAGATGTAATTTTGATTAGTTGCCAAGTGGCTCATAAAGACAACCAGTCGCACATCAATAAACCCATAAAAATTTGCATACAATTTTCATGGATTTTTATGTACAGATATAAAACAATAAGCACATTTGCATAGGCACAAGTAAAGTGATCGCTCTTTCAGGAGCGATACAATGTTGCTGGGCGAAATAAGAGTCAGTTGTTCTCACGTTACGAAATAGAAACCAGGTTGAAGGCCTCTCGCCGAAATGGAAAACTACTTAATTAGACGAAATGGAATCAAATTGTGCAAAATGACAATTGTAAGCGACAAATTCCATACACAAAACACAGTCAAAATTGATCAAAATCGATGCAAAGCATTTCCAATCAGTGATTTTGCATAAAAACACAGCGACTCATCCAAGCGGAAATGCAATGGGTGGGGCAAATCAGATCCAAGCCTAGTCAGATTTGTATTTTTAATCAGTTTTAGGCCGAACTTTGGAAGTAATGCCACTCTAGATTTGTCAGAAATCGCATTAGCTTTGCTGTCCTTATTGTTTTGTGAGTACTCTTAAATAAAATAAGTATTCTGGTCAAAAAAACTATAAATGTGTTTTTTAAAAAACCTTTTTCCCTTTTCAAAAATAGTATGTCTGTCTAAAATTTGTATCTTGTATTATTTAAATCTCAATCATAGAAGTAACAAAAAAAATTCTAAAGGCAAATATAATAATAGATTAAATTAATGACCTGGGTAAATATAGTGGCTAAACAAATATTTATATGAAAAGTTTTCTTAGAGACAATTAAAGTTGAAATTAAATCTTAGAGTAGCTTGTTTATGGGTACAAACCTTATGGATTTCCAAAATTGAATAAATGATTTCTCCTTGTTATTTTAGTTGTCCAAATATGTATGTGCTCCGTGCACTGCTCGTGCTGGCACTGAGTGCCGTGGCGCTGGCCCAGCGTCGTCTGGCCCTTCCGGATCCGAGGAGTTGCGCCAACCGGGTGCGCCATGCCAGCTACCGGGATGCCAGGGGTGTGTCCCACTCGTACTTCTTCAGCTGGGAGCATGCACCGACCCGCAGTCTGGAGGTGGATTGGCTGGATGCGAGGAACATCTGCCGCCGGCACTGCATGGATGCCGTTTCGCTGGAAACGCCGCAGGAGAATGATTTTGTGAAGCAGAGGATCGCTAGGGGCAATGTGCGATACATCTGGACATCGGGCAGGAAGTGCAACTTTGCCGGCTGCGACAGGCCCGATCTGCAGCCACCCAACGAGAACGGATGGTTCTGGTCGGGATCGGGGGCGAAGATTGGACCCACCTCGCAGAGGAACACCGGCGATTGGTCGGCCACGGGCGGATACCAGCAGCCACAGCCCGATAATCGGGAGGCGGCCCAGGGCAACGATGAGAGCTGCCTGTCCATCCTGAACAACTTCTACAACGATGGCATCAAGTGGCACGACGTGGCCTGCCATCACATCAAGCCATTCGTGTGCGAGGATTCCGATGAGCTGCTGAACTTCGTCCGCTCCCGGAATCCCAATGTCCGCTTGTAATTCTAACTAGCCTAAGCTTTTAAGGAGATGATTAAAATTTACATATTTATGTAGCCTTAAACGGAACATTGATTGGATGATTGATTGATTGATTGTTTGATTCATTGACTCATTGACTGTTCAATCCAACATTGATGGCTTTCAAAGCGCCTAACATTCGTTCGTTCAGTTTAGTTCGCAGCTAAAGTTCTAAAAAACAAAAAATTTGAATAACATTTCTGTGTCGATCCGCGCATGGTAAACAACAAAATTGTTAAATAATTTTAAAAAAGTTGTTAATAAATACAAATTGAACCCAACAGTGAAAGACGTTTGTGTTTAAACATTTAATGCATATATTTGTATTTAGTTCATTATACGATTTCACTAGAAAATGCATGTATGTAAATATATATCCGTGGATCTGTTTAATAGGTTTTTCCTTTATCTGAATACTTTGGTAAGTTCTGTTGCTTGCGGGAACTTATTTGCCTAGTTTGTTACCACTAAAACTAATTTCATTTACGTTTAGGAATAATTAAATTATTAAACGATTTTTTTTTTTTAGCCATTTCGAGTTTTGAAGAAGACACAAAGTTAGCAGATTTGATCTAATAAAGTAACTGGTACAGGTTGCATAGTGTGCATCATTATCCGATATCCTAATAAAATCAAATTAAAGATTCACCAATATCTAGCAAATTAAAGTCAAAACAATAATATACAAGCTTAAACTAAAAATTAACAACTAGTTTCGGGATCCGTCCATTTTCAGGCATGCTTTAAAAAATTATACATACAATAGGTGTAAAATGTGAAATACAAATTAATCAAATGGTTTAACATAAAAATCTAACAACAATCAATAGGGAATTTATGAACTTAGTCACTTAAGCTTAGTCATAGAAATTAACAAGTGATTTCGGTAAACTGGATCTTTTGGAACTGTCGTTTAGAACAGAATATATATGATTCGGTTATCGGTTATGGATGGTGTGTGGAGTAGTTCTGTGTATTTATGTGGAACTGTGGTGGTGGTGGGTGTTGTTGCTGGTATTTTGCTCAACAAAATACGGTCCTAAAAAGGGAGAATTACAAACTCGTTAATACAGAAATGGAGAAGCATTGGGTAGTTGGGTTCACAGAACGTATAGTTAGATTTGCCAGATTTTGCCATTAGGCAAGCGCTTGCGGTTAGTTTTGGATTGGATTGTTAGCCACCAATTTTGGGTTTTTGTGGTGTTAGTCACATGCGCATTTTCCCTCTTAGCCAAGTCACAAACCGTTAAGCCCAAAATCGAGCTTTACCTGCCGCAAGACAATTTCAATTTCAATTTCAAATTCAATTTCAATTTCAAATTCAACGACAACATCAAACAAAGGAACACCAATGTTATGACTACTCATTACGATCGCTACGCCTGCGCCGCAGGCTCGTGTTAATTGAATACATCAACATTCGATCTGTTTTCTGGTTAGCTGTGCGTGTGGGTGACTGAGTTTCTGAATTTTGGTATCATTATAATGATTTTGTTGGACTTAAGCAGTACTTGAGTTATGGGAGGCGCCACTGATCGCATTGAACAAAGCCATGCTGTTGCGCTGGTTTATGCTGTCGGCATCGTCACCAAGCGGCTGGAAGGACTCGTCGTCGAGCAACTCACTGAGCGCCTGGCACAGCTTCTCGTAGTTCTCCTTCAGCACGTGATGGTACTCCTTTTGGTCCGCGCTAATGATTCGTTCGTTCAGGAACAAAGCCTTCTGACAGACCACAATGAAATCGCTGCAATAGAAAGCCATCATTAAATATATAATACAATAATAAACAAATGAAAAAACAAATTACCGAAAGACATCCTTAAGATCTGCGACGCGATCCATTGAGAAGTTATTGACCACCTTGGCATCGAGGAAGGCATGAGCATAGGCCAAAGGACCAGCATTGACCGTCACAGCCACACTTCCCTGCAGACGCAGCTGCAACTTCTTGACATCCGCTGGCGGGAGGATGATCTCCTCCAGCTCTGAAACCTTGGATTGCATCTCATCGATGGCCACCTCGATGGGACTCAGTTCGATGATTTCGCGCGATTTCACCGGTATACGTTTGAGAACATAGGGAAAAGAGTATTGGGCTGCATCATAAAACAAATGACAAGTTAATATTGAATGATAGATTTGTAGAAGTTACTTCTTACTTTTTATAACCGTTTTGCGTTTCCATTGCTCTTCGACGTTGCCACGGGCTGCTCCCGATTTAGTGAACGGCGTTTCGTACATAAACGTGTCCACATCATGATTCTGCTCGAATTCGTTGAGCCGCTGGTCGAGTTCGTCCTTGGAGAAGAATGGAATCACATGGGTGACCTGAATGTAGGCTAGCTTGGCATCCAAATCGTCCACCTTAACCTGAAAAAATATCGATAAATTAAAAAACTTTAATAGAAATTAAATTAAATTAAATTAAATTAAAAATGCTTTTATCTTAAAATGAATTAATTAATAATTAGCTGAATTCTAAGAAAAAACGGTTTTGCTTAAGAGTTACTTTAGATGAATATATCGTGAGTTATCACTAAAGCTTTTCTCCGCTCGAATCGAGAGACAGTTGGCGGTTGACCGGCAACTTTGAGATCAAGTCGTCATCCCAGCAAAAATCAGAGCTCGTTTTCAAAATCGTTATCCACTTCCTTCCCTGAACCGATGTAGTTCATACAATTTAACAACTTTACTAGGTACTAGTAAATTGTTTGTTATTTTTTTACAGTCACCACTGCACGTACACTAGAGCCGCAGTATTGTCCAAATTTGTATACATTTCGCGTTCTTCACTTCTTTGACACAAACCACCAGTTCATCGGATCGTCGAGCATCCAGCAGAAGAGCATTCCGTTTCGATTATGGCCCAGTTCTTCGCATTTCCGGGTCGAGGAATGGGCCTGGGTGTGGTTCAGATGCAATATCAGATTCCAAGTCCTTGTGCACCGGTGCAACACTCGCTGAATCCGAACGCGGTGGAGTTCGTGCCCTCATATCGCCAGAGATCTGAGTTCCCAAGTTCCGAAACCAAATCGGAGGCCACTTCGACTACCACATTGCTTCGTCCCGAAATCGTGGGGGATGCGCTGGTGGAGAATCTTGAAAATGGCTTCCATCTCAAGCGACAGATCTACGAGCTCCTCAGCCAACTGGGTGATGAACAAATGCCGCTGGAGGAGATTACAGTGGCTTTGCTGCCCGGAGGTCATGGCCTCAGCATGACATTCAACACCAAACGATCGAACCAGCAGATGCAGCCGCTGGATCCTAATAGCGCCATCTTTAACGGACGCCAGAGCCTCAAACTGACTGTCGGCGATCAGGACAAGTTGGCCAATAGACCGGAGAGTGTCCTAATCGCCCAATTTCTTAGCCGAGTCAATGACGTTCTCAGCGAGAAGTACGAGTATGGCGGCGATGCCTCTGTCTGCCCCAAGTGCACTCTATGCTGCCGTCGCAGCTACACGGAACTGGAAATCGAGCACCAGATCGAGGGAATCAAGGCCTTTGAGAAGTTTTTTAATTTCACAGAATCTACGCGCTACCAAGACTTGGTCTCACACGAGGCCTTCAAGGACCTGTGCCACAAGCTGGGCCTAATCGTCAGCCGCGATGAGATCCACATCAACCGAGCCTGCAGTGGTGGAGTGACCACAGTGGTCCCTCCTCCGCCAACCTCAACACAGTCCTCTAGTGCAACCGTTTGCAATTCGCGGTCCATCGATGCGATGGAAACCGATGTGGAGGCCGAGGCTTATGCCGGCGATGATGAATCCCAGCCTAATGGGGGTAAACACATTTCAAGAGGAAGTGCCGGCACCTCTAATCCAAAGGAGTGCGTGAGGGGAAATCTCTACAGGTGGGTTATAAACTAAAAAAAAATGTACCTGCTATTACAAAATTAAATACTCTAACATTTTTCTATCGTTCCTATGGCGGCTAAACGATAACGTTGTCCGATTAAAAAAAAAAAACTTAAACCGTAGTTCTGAAATATTAAACCATTGCCTTAAAGTATATTGTATAAAGTAAGAAACGCGAAAATGTGTTATTTTAATTAATGTTGACTTATATTATAATAGGAATATATTTGGACTTAAGGGAGCGCATATATTAATGATACTTTATTTCAGGTACGAGGACTCCGAGGGAGCCCAGCTGGTTAACCAGCTGAATGAAGCTGACCACGAAACTGAGCCAATGATGGTCGATATCGACTTGGCCTTGAATGTACCGAGAACCGCGCCGGCCAAAACCGTGATGGCCACAAGTATCCCGACCACCTTTCCGCGAGTCTACAAATCGGCCAAGGCCAAATGTTCTGCTCGGGGAGTGGGTCCCAGTGGAAAACCGAGCGGATCACATGTCCACAGGAACTCAATGGGCCAGGCCACATGCTCAACCTTGCCACCAATGCGGGCTACAATGGGCGGTGGCCAATTTCAGAGCGGATCTACTGGGACTGCCATCCGTAAGCTCCCAGTGGAATCGTGCACATCCGGTGCAGCTCGCAAGCCAAATCGGCTGAGTATTGCCAAGTCGGGATGTGTTTACCAGCAGTCGGGCAACATGCCACCAGCTGTGGCAGGTCCAGTAGCCAAGCCAGGAAAACCTGGAACCTCTGTACAGAAGCAGCAGTTAAACCATGTGTGAGTGGTGTTACAAAATTTCATCTTTATAATTTTAACTTTCTCCTACTTTTGGTTGAAAACATTTTTTGCTTGCTGCATATATTTCTAAAATTGGATCCACAGTTGCAAGTCGGTCAAAGGAGCAGTGGCTGGTAGGAATGGCATGACCAACTCAAAGCAAACCCATGGCTCATCGCAGCGTATGATCCCAAGAAGCACCCAAGCTTCATTGATGCGCCAATCAGAGGTCAAGCGGGTAAGTCCATAAAAAAATACAATTTCTAGACTTTCTTTCTATTTCTCGATTCATAAACTTGTAGCGCATGAGTCTGATGCGCGGCGACAGCGATTCGGATCTGCTCTTCAATGAATATCTGTTCAAGTGATTTGCAGATGGATTGCATGGGTTTGCTGCTTCTTATTCAAATACAAATTTTTCTTTAAACTCAATAGAGAAAAAGAGTACATATATTTTTGAATTCAATAAAATATGGTTGTTAAGTAAAATGTTAATTAGGTGATACTAATTTACAAACCATTAGTTAAACAATATCTAAGAACTATTTTTTCTTTAATCAAACTCTACTCACCGGTGACGAATCCATGATCATCTTGACCACATCGGCTCCAAACTTCTCCTTGTACTGTTTGGCCAGGCGCTCAGAGATTTCGCTTAGCGAAGTCAGTTTGGGCTCCTTGTAGACATACTCGACGGCATGATCCTCTTCAAAGTACATCTAAAAAAAAAGAATATTAATTAATGAAAAGGGATATCTTTTGGGTCAACCCTCACCATTCCATAAAAGACGACTCTGTAGAAGCGCCCCAGCATTCGCTTTCCGGAACGATTGACCTCCACGATTTTGTTGTAGGCTTGAGTGAGATGTTCGTAGCAGTGGGCCAGGTCGAGGAAACTCCTATCCCTTTCGTACATGGGCAGGATGAGCTTGTAGAGCTCGCCGAGGCACTCGAATCTTTCAGCGCGGTCCAAGAAATCGGCACACTGTTTCAGCTGCTCCAGGAGCATTTGTTCTGTGTACTGGGAGTCCTGAGCACCAGCATCTAGCTTGAGACCCTGCTCATCCAGAGGAATATTCCTCGATATCTTCTTGAACGCAGTGGATGACCAACTGAGTGTGCAGCCACCTCGCAAGCGGAGATATTCACACATCAAAGCAGCAATATGAAGATGACAGCAGGCAGCCTCTGAGAGATTACCATTCTGCTCGTGATTTCGGGCCATCGTCACCAGCCAAGTGTGTCGCAGTTCTGGCGTTGAGGCATACGAATTGGCCAGGGAATACTGTAGTTCCAGCAATCTTTCCGGATCCATATGATGTGCCTGCATTTGGGCAGTGGCCATGAGAACGGTGCGCACGCGACGCGTTAAGTCCTTGACCTCCATGGGGAAACCAGTGCCCTTCATCGCCTTGTCGCTATTTGCATAGCTATTGATGATGGATAAGCTCTCCTGGAATCTGGCATTGTTCAGGCCAATCACATTGCCAATCATCTGCGACACTGAGATAATAACTTGCAAGTGTACACGGGTTAGAGCTTTTCTACCGCTGAACTCGAAGTTACTGCGCATGAGAAGATATAAAACAGCACAAGATTCGTGACGAATCTCCACCAGGCGACTGTCACAGGCTTTCAGGAGCTCATAAACCATCTGACCACACAACATGGCATTGCCCTTGAACAACGCCACGGCATAGTTGTTGATGAAAGCCCTTAAAGCAGCAAAGACGTGTTTCGAGAGTCTTTCCGATTGGCCCAACTGCAGGAATCTCAGATAAACTCTGGCCAACTTGGGCAGGATTAGGCTGTCTGCCAGGAGTTGTCTGAACTGCAGGACATACATACCCAGGCAGTCCAATATAATCATGCCCACCTCAGTGGCCAAATTGGATTCATAGAGGGCCAATTGACTCTTAGCCAGTGTATCCATGTCCTCTAGTAGATGTTCCCTGGTTTGATTTAAAGTTCCACTATTTGGCTGCAGCTCCTGGTGGCCATTTTCCAAACCTGTAGGTGGTTGCGTCCTCGCTGGCAGGGTGTTGGCCTTGGCCGAACGTCCTTGACGCGTGTCCGGAGTTATCACCACACTCTTCTTGCCCACATAGCGGAATTGCAGCAGGCAGAGATCCAGAATGGAGAGAAACTGCAGTGTCTCGGATTCGTTGCAGTTCTGCCACCAGCCCACCATTTGATCCTGCGAAAGGTGCTTGATGATGAACAGGAAGCCCAGCAGGAGGTCCTTGCTCTCCGCCGAGCTGAACTTGTCGCAACGCGAGAGGATCTGTGCGTGGGTAACGCTCACTGAACGATTGTGTCCATTGCGCAGTCCCACATCCGCATCCCCATTGGTGTAGGCACCAATTGTGGTGGTGTCCTGAGAGTGCTGGAAGTAAGGATGCAAGTTAAAGAGGCTTTAATTTGTTTAAGTAAACTCAAAACTCACTCCCGAATCCGTGTTTGAATTTAACGAGAGATTCGAGATGCCATTGCTAATGGGTTGCCCAGCAATGGCGGCCAAATAGTTGTGCTCCTTCATGTGCACCGAGGTGCGATATGGACTCGGTTGATCGCAATGCAGGGTCAGGCGGTTCTTCGAGCGCGGAGTGGACGTCAGGGAGCCAAATGTGGAGGAGTCCTTGCTAAACACATAGCTGCTGGAGCAACTCAATCGCTTGGCATAGGAAGCCGAGTCCGCATAAACATGTCCATTGGGGGTACAAGCGCCAGACTCGGATAGATCATCAATCCGGTGGATGTTGTCCATCACAACACCCAGCCAAGGAACATAGAGCAGGGCAATCCTCGAGAGTTGACCCCTCTGCTGATATCGGTTGTCCAACTCGTGTTTTGCCAGCAAATCCTTGAAGATGCCCAACGCATGTCGCCTCACGTGGCCCACTTCATTGAGACTGCACTTCAGTTCCTGAAGTAGAAGACCCGACAGGAAGTGCTGCCTGCAGAACTGTTCGGAAAGTGTGAAGTGCTGCATCATCTCGGGAGGTCGGTTCTTCGGATTCAACACAAACGGCAGGTTGAGTGGCACATAATGCTCATGCTGGCAGATCTCTTGCAGAAAGTTGAACTTGTACTCATGCAGTATGCGAGGATTGCCAGGCGCAAACTCTCCCATATAGCAGCGAATCAAGCGGAAGACAAATCCTCTGTCCATGTAACTCAGACACTGGCGCACGAATTTGGCCAGAGAGCGATTCAGCAGATGCGTTTCCTCACCCAAGTCCTCGAATCGGGTGGTTATGTAGGGCATTAATGCCTTGATCAACTGCTCCACCCGATCGGCATATTCTTTGGGAAAACGCTCGTTGCGCAGCATTCGAATTCTCCCAGTGGCCAACAAATGCTGCGCCATACTCTTCACAATCAGATCGAAGAATATCGCGGAGTATCGCATGAACTTGTTGACGATCAGAAAATCGGGATTGCTGGGATTCAGGAGGTACGGCAAGTGCCGGCAAAGCTCTCCATGGACAGTCCTCTGCCTGGCTGTCTGCTGGCTGTAGTAGGGTGCGTGGAACACGTACTTTACATAGGCTCCCAAAAGATCGGCCCTCTTAGCCTGATCGCTTATCAAGTGGATAATGTTTGTAATCAGCCGGATTACATTCAGGCCTATTTCCTCGGATTGAGTGTGAACCAGCAAGGTGAACAGCTCGTTCAGGAGCGTGGGTAGATAGTTGATCAGCGATTTCATATCAATTGCATGGGCTGCTTTCAAGATCTTGCACGTTTCCGTTTCCGCCGGCACTGCTCCGGTTTTTCCTCCCTCCAGCAATCTCTCACAATGTCCAAAAAAGTTATGCAAATGCTGATCCGCCGTGAGAACCGTTGAGTCCAGCCGCAATCCCACCGTATACAGATTCCTCTGGTTATCGATCCACTGGATATCCGGACCGCAGTTCTGCTGAGAAATTGGAAGGATTTGTAGGCAGCCAAAGGGGGTAGGATTGTGGGTGGTTGGTGGTGGTGCAGAAAGCATGCAGATCAGTGCGGAGAAGAAAAAAAAACACAGAAAGAGAGCACAGGTTAGTTGGCAGCGCAGGGAATGAATGGATGGGTATGTGATGGTATGTTTTGGGTAAGAGACAAACAAATAACATTTCATGAGTTGATGAACGCCACTAGCGAAGCCCACAACGTCAATAACTTACCCCCTTGCCCCATCCCAAGGGCTGAATGGAAAGATAGCCCACGGGCAGTGTGGCAGCCACCGGGAGTTGCTGTTCCTCCAAACAGATTCGATTCTTCTGCAGCAATGGCAACCAGGCATAACCAATGGGCGTCTCAAAGGCTGCATGAGCATCCCGCTTCTTGCTCAGATTGCAGGACACATGGTAGAAGGAGAAGAGCAGGTGATGTTCTGGAAACAGTCCCAAGGGAAGACGCAGCTTGATCTCCTCGTACCACGTGGGTGTCACATTGTGATGCAGCACCGGACAGGCTATCTGGGAAACTAGAAGATCCTGCCCAGGACGACCATAGATGCACTGTAAGCAAAAGAGTTCATCAGGAATTTGTTCAATATTTGTAAACTGTATTTGGTTTCCCACCTTCAAAGGTTTACTGTACTCCCCATCGCCATCCCGCAGCTCCACCACCACCGTAATATTTCTGGCCCTTGAGAACAACTTCTGACTGTCGAACTGCAAGCTCAGTGGATACACATACAAGTGGTTACAGAAGCTTGTATAGGGATGTGCATCCCTGTGCGCATCCCGTTCACTCTGGCTCTGAAATTCGGCCAACTCGATGGTGGGCGATTGCTTGGAATTTGGACTAAAGGTGGACAAGGGAGCCAGTGATTTGCTCAAGCCACAGGGTGTGGTCTGATCGAGGAACTGCATCTGCATTTTGAGGCTACCGGGAATGATGGTTAGTTTGCTCAGTTTCTCGGGCTTACGATAGTCGACTAAGAGCTTGAGCAGCTCATCGTCCCTCAGTTTGGGTAATTCCTGGCGATAAATCGGGCTGAATTCGAACTCCCTTTTGGGATCTACATCCAGTTCGTGGCTGTATTGCTTGAACAGTGGTCTGGCTGCCCAGGCAAAGGGCTGTCTATAGTGCCCAATGTGCTGGGCACAACTCTTGGCCGCCTTGTACACTTTCTGACCCAGTTTGGGATCCTTTCCAGCTTTTAAATAGGGTTCGGCAGCCTGTGCAATTCCCGATTGCAGCAGTTTCTCCACTCGCACCACCTGTTAAACGAATATCGTTTTTAGTATTGCAATAATAAAAGGCGGATTCAATAACTTACCAAATAGATATCTGCATGTGGAGCAGTCACTGAAAGCACACACTGTCTCAACTGCTGGAATTGCTGGCGATTCGAGCGTAGCAAGTCCGCAGAGACGCCATCGAATAGGGAGTGAGGTGCCTGGGAGGCGGTGCTCCTCTCATCGCCCTCCGTCGACTTTCTAGGAACTCCACAGCCAGCCACAGATGAAGGAACTGGAGTATTCGGTAGCATCTGGGCAGCCCACTGCTCATTCACGTTGAAGTAAAAGTTCTCGCTCAACTTCCGATTCGCCTTGGCATCGTACAAGGCCAGACTGGTGATGTAAGGTTCCACTTGCTGCTCGACTCCACCAGCAGAGCCTTCGTCCTGCGGGATGCACTGCAGCCGGAAGCGCAGGCTGTGGCAGGTGAGCAGTAGCCGTGTGCCAAAGTGTTCCCGATACTGTTCGACATTATCACTACCACTGCTCTTGGCCGGCGACTGATAGCAGGCAAATAAGCGGCGGCGTTGTTCCCTTCTGGCCAAAGCAATCGAGTGATCCGTTTCCCTTCCGTACTTCATCAACTGGGGGTGCAGGGATTGATCCAGACCCTTGAGAGTGCCAAAGGTTGGGGGTTCCATTGCTGGCGCCTGAAGCTGGGGACTTGGACTCGAACCGACAGATGGCTGGCGCTCCAGCGAAGCATTTCTTTTCTCCTCTTGGGCGCGATTCTGGGCCAACACCGAGTTGATTTTGCTTAGCCAGTCCTTGAAGTCCTGCTCGTTCTCGGCGGCCAGGGTAAAGGATTTATGGCCAGTCGTCATGCGGAGTTCGAAGCAAAAGCGACCACGTTTGGGATTCTAAACAGGCGCATTTTCATTATTATTTTTAGATTTTTTTTAACAAAATCATCAAGCACACTTACCTGCACCACATCGGTGCAAAAGTCCATGACTATGGTGGCCTTAGCTTCGCCCTGCTTTTCGTCCTTGTGCAGTTCCAATATGTAGGTGCCATCGATCTCCTGTCGCAGATAGCAATAGCGACGCTTAAAGGACTTGTTGCCAATGTTGGCAAACATGCGATCTGAGGCCGAATCGGGACCTTTGAGGAGATAACCCTGCTTGGTAATGGTGTCCGCCTGGGAGCGAGTCATTTGCTCGTCTATCCGATCCTGATCTGCATCGATTTCGTAGACTTCCTCCAGCAATTCCTCAGCAGGAGAAATACTAAAACAATATTATTATATTTGAACTCTTAAAAAAATTATTTTTCTAAATATGTACCTGGGCAGATCATGGCAGCTGCCACCATATGCATTGTATTTATAGTGAATCAAATGATTCTTGGCCCTGTAGGTGTACAGAGCTTGTCGCGTGAACCTGGTGCATTCCGCCCTCGATCCGTGAGCAAGTCCGTCCACTATGTCCTCGCTGTGCCCATCATCCGCAAACTCATCCACCTCCTCCGGCATGGCCAAGTTTGAACGCAGTGTAATCGAGGACAGAGCCGACTCATACGAGGTATCCTTGTGACTGGACGATCCATTCGAGCACTGCGAACTCTTCCTGGAGAGTTGGCCGTGTCCATTGGAGTTGGTCAAACTGCTGCTACTGCTGCTGCTGGTGTGTCCATTGCCATTTCCATTGTGGTGGCTCCCATTCGACTGAATGCTCCCCTGTCGACTCACCTGACTGTGCCCATTTCCATTCCCCATTATGGAGGGACCATGGAGGGGACACACGATCGCCTCGTTGGGGGGATCGAATCTGTCGGCCACGGATTTGGCATTGGTTCGCTGCTTTCGCGGCATGATAATCTCCTGGTGGGTTAATGAAAAATAATTATCAATAAAAAAACACCATAAACATATAACAATGTATTAAAAAGGAAGTTGATTCAATTATCTCTTAAATTTTACTTATTTTATAATATTAATTACAAAAACATCATTTATTTTGTGAGATACCTTTTAAAATTAGATTAAAGTTATGAATTATACTTTTCAAATACTTCATAGATCTAATATATACAAGTAAGTACAATTACATTAATAGTAATAAAATCAAAATTTAAAATACACTTTTATTTATTTTTAAATGCCTTATTTTGTTCTTAAAATATTTATCTACTCACCGAGACATCATCCGCGGGATATATAAGTAGCTCCCTCTGCGGATCATTTTGGATAACAGTTTTATTTTTGGCTATAAAGGCTTCGAAATCGATGGGCTCCACCACAAGAGGCTTGTTCTGAAATATAAAGATTGAAATAAGTATAAGATGCTGTATTCCAAATGTTTGTTTGCTAATTTATGCGCACCACTTGTAAAAGCAAGGCGTCCCTATTAATAGCACTACCCAAAAAACAAATGTCCAAATGCTATCCATTCCCGTTGCCCGAATGCAGGCGGATTTTGAGAGATTTATCGGTACTGCGCACGTCATAAATTTATGGCTACTTTGTGATGGGTGAGTTCGGTTCTTTTTTTCACACCCGCCGCAAAGAAGAGACCTTGACCGCATTACAAAGCAGTCTCCCCCTCCTTGTGTAATGATATTTTCCATGTCTGCCACTTGGCATAAACAAATTCATTTCGTTTAAACATTCTAACCGTTTGCATTTTTAGCCCCCTCAGGCAGTAGCTGATATTTTCCGTTTTTGCGTCTTGGATTTCGCAAGATGATGATGATGAAGGCACTAAAATAAGTGTGTTATGAGCTGTGTGACCCAACCTGTGACCCCACCCTTTATGGCGTGTCCATGCAGAGGGTTAAAGTGCCACTTCCGTTTTGGCATATCCATTTCTGGCGACTGTCGGATATTCTGTCATTTTATTGTTTTCTCGAAATTTGAGGTGTGTGGGCTCGTTTTTCTGTTTTATTCTTGGGCTTGGTTTATTTTAGGAAGACACAGGTCAATTGAGGCCATGGGAAAAAGGCATTTAAAACTTCACTTTATTGCGTTTAACTGCACACATTGGAGAAAGGATTGTCATAGGTTGGGAATGGTTATGGATCAAAATAAATTACTTTGGGTTGAGTGTTTAATATTTTTATATATACGGATTAATACAAATATTTAGGAAAAACTTCAGACTAGTATACAATACTTTACTTTTGTAATTTCTGATTTTAATAAAGTTTATTTCTCTTTTCTAATAAATGTAAATTTAATTTTTAAATTTTCGTTCCTTTTTGTATTGGAAAATATAATAAGCAGAACTTTAAAGGTTAACCGATCCTATTACGCAGGTAACGCATAATTTATAAGTAAACATACTTATAGTTCGATTAAATCAAAATTAACCTATTTAAATATTACAACTATTCCAAACACGTTTAAAAATCCATAAACTAATGACAGGCTAGCTATCAATATCAGCTGTCAGCTTGTGCCTCTGGCAAACCTTGGCTTTGGCCCTGATTCTACTCGTATGCATTCGTGCCCAGCCATGCCCACTTAAGTACCGCCCCTGCCCATCCCCTTTCTCGAGTAAGAGCTGCAATGTCAATGCACTCGCCCACTTAGCCACTTTTGGGCTCGAGCTTGGGGGAAAGCATTTTCCATTGTGAGCTCAGGTTTCGGGCCTTTTCATGCGGCTCCATCATTTCGCCTCTTAACACGCACTGCATGCAAATTGGCAGACGTCGCCGCTTGCGTAATTAAAACCGCTAACCGGCGACAGCCCCAACTAGTAAAGTTATAAAAAAAAAAGCTGCAAGTATAATATACACCTACGGCGACAAGTGCATGGGCATTACGCAAAAAAGGCAAACTCATCAGTGTTCGGCCAATTACCAAATCAATTGGCCAGCCCAAAAGCCCGAGAAAGTTGGGCAAACATTTTCGGTGGTTATTTTGATGTTTTTTTTTCTTTTTTTTTTTAATGCGGTTGTGTTGGCAAATGCTAAATGAAAAGTCAAATTTAAAAACTAAAATCTGCATCGCCATGGTGGTCGATCAGTAGACACGCAATTTTGCACAACTGGTCCAGCAAGGCGTGAAGACCTCAGAGATTCACCACCGACCATACGCCAACGATCAATGACCATGATCTCAAGCCATCAGCCATTTTCTGTTCACTAGTAATGACATTTCAGAAATAAATAAGCTATACCATTTTTCAGCTAATAAAATTCGGGTCTAATGATAATTTCTATTTTTTTTACTTTTTTCTATATTAAATATAATTTAAACCTAAATCCTAATCTTAAATATTCAGACAAATGGTCGGAAAGTACTTTGAGGGTAAATTATCTAATTGAATAAATTACATTTGTCTTTAACTAAATTTAAACTTCAAAAATTTCTCTTTAGGCCACATTGGATAACTTTTATTTATAAAACTTAACTTAGGTATTTTTTTTAGCTCTTTTTCCCTTATAAGTTGGAAACTCTCTTAGGCTATAAATTTGAGCATCTCTGATTACTATCTTGGCCAGCAGCCAGTTTCAATTTAAAGTTAGCGGTTTGAGGCGCCTCGGCAGGCAAAACGTGACGGTTTATGCATATTTCAGTGAAACATTGGCCCGGCCTCAAGAGGCAGTGGCAATCAGGCCTCCCCTCATCATCGGATGGTCCCTTCTAAATAAGACTTGACTTTCATTGATTTTGCCAGAGCAATTGGCCCTGGCATGTCTTGAATGTCACTTGAGTTGTGGTGTCCCTTCTTCATTTTCCTCGCTTATCAATTGAAAATGCAACAATGCGGCGGCTTATGCGTTCATTTATTCTGCTATATATACTGAGGCATTATATAGAAATTGTGGAAGGGTCACGAAATGTTGGCTCGGCACATTTAGATTTCTCTTTGAAGTGGAAACCGTTCAAGTGGTCTTCTATACTCTATACTCTTCTCTTCCTGATTTGCATTTTGTGGGCACGGAAATATTGTGACTAAATTTAGCTTTACTTATTGCATATGATTTGTTGTGTCTGAGTCTGGTGAACTTTTGACCCACACAAAACAATTCAAGGGGTTTTTAAGGAAATTTATTTCGAAATTTTAAAAGCTTTGGAAGCCATAGTGTAAGTGCAGGAAGTTTATCTAGCGAAAAATTCAAATAAATTCATAGTGGAATAAGAAATTCATCTAAAATAGTTGGTATATACATTGCAAAAATTAGTATCTCGCATTGCTACATTTGCATGTAGCTTTTGGGTGTGTTTCGCCTTTTCAATCTAATACTGTTCCTAAATTTGTAAACAAATATGTGGAGCAAACAGTATACAAATTGTATGATTTGTTTATTTGCAGTGTATGGTCAATGAGAATAAGGCAGCTGGCATCCGTTCTGGTATAGGAATCCGGCATATAAATTTCATAAATTTATGCCCATACAGGGATTTCCCGCTCCACAAGCGAACATGAGCCGTGAAATGCATGAAAAGAATTGCGCTGATTAAATATATATTTACATATATATTATTTGTAATTGTTGTGTAAATAAATAATTTATTTATTTGTAATTGTGTGTAGAAAATAAGGCAAGGTTTTCTTTATCAGTCGATGAAATGGGGGAGAGGTTTGTACAGTCATCGGATTTGCGACTTTGAAAACTGGTTTCAGCCCAGCAAGATATTTGTTTTGGTCATCTTCGGTGGGTTTCACTGTTGCTTGGTTCAACGAACCCAACAACATGTTTAAATAATATTGAAAACTCAAGCCAAGTGCAGATCTTAAACTGGCCCACCCATAAAGGTGGCGACAAGTCAGCAGTTTTCCTCACCCATTCCAGACATACCACTATAACATGTTGAAAAAAAAATAAAAAACTGAAAACACAAGTAAGCTGTGTAAAAAAACCCAAGTCAACAAATTTCTCGCGTTTAGTTATACAACCAAATAATTTATTGTCAGGGCAAAAGTTGAACTTTCTAAGCAAGGTATTCTATTCAAAATGCTCAACGAATTTCACCCAGTTTTAAGTCCGAATCGTGGGCAAATTTACATGTCCGGACAAATGAGGAAGCTTACCATTAGCTTCGTTCAATTCAAAGTAAATACTTTGGCAGCGGCATTCATTAGATGGCTTTTTATTGTCCGCACAATGAGGGAAGTATGGCAGAGAAATGTCGGCTGCATAAGCAGCATTCAAATTATAAGAGCGACACAACTATAGCATAACCATGCGATATTTATAATGCACTAATCGCCCGCCGATCGGTGTTATGTAAGCCGCTGATGGCGATGATGTCGTACGCCGTTTTAGACCCGTTTAAATAAGCTTCAGGGTGGGTAAAAGTTCCTCCAACACTTTCATTTCTTGCACAATTTTAACTTTCATAGGGAACTCAAGAAATACATTGAAGAATATGTACGGCAGAAGTTTAAATTGGTTTAAAACAAATACTTTTAAAACATAAAGATAAGTTAAATATATGGGCATTAACTCTTTACTTATTTAAAAAAGCCAATCGAAATAAAAACTAAGAACTGAATTTATAAATTTAAGTCAGTTTGATATTTTGTATTATTGTATCATATTTCTTATAATAAGATCTTTTTGATGGCCCTATTTTCTCTCTCTAACATATTAAATTAATAGAAAAAATACTTCGACATGAAAAACACTTGTTTCTCTAATGGAGCATGCTGAAACCCTAAATGGTTTTAACCTGTCAAGGTCAAGAGCCAACTGGTTTGCACATTGCTGCCAACTTGTGTTGGCCAACCCAACCAGAAGTACAAGAATAACCAGAAGCAACCTTGAGGACAAAATGTGGGGAAAAGGAAAAGAGACTATGGCAGCAAAAAAATAATTGCCCTAAAGCAGGAAAAGCAAGTGCAGCGAAAAAGACAGAAAAAAAGACATGAAAAATTCAAAGCAAAAGACAAAGACACAAAAAGTTCCCACGCAGAAAAAAGTAACAAAAAAAAAGTAGAGAAAGAGAGGTAGATAAATAATCATATAGGAAACTCATCCAATATCCAGTTCTTGGCCATGTCTGGCTGTTCAGCGAATAATTACCCATCGAACGGCGCTAAAAGAAAGTAAAAGAAAAGCCGAGAAAAGCGCACACACATTTTTGGAGTAAAAGAGCAAACAATCAAATGACAAACATTTGTTGAAAGAATACTGTGGAAGACGCTTACGCTTTAATTGCCGACAGTAGCCCCGATATCTGCTCACTTACAGATGCCTTGGAAAGTTGACAGTTTCAGTGCAGTTTTCAGTGGAAAATTGGGTGCCGGCGACGAGATGGGATGGATTCTGCCATGTGTGGCCGGGGCAACTTTCTAAAAAGTACTTAGCACTTTCAATTACAATTGTACAATGTGTCTGCAACACCAAGAGGCCGGTTAAAATACGGCAGCGAGAATCTGGCAGACTAATTACATTTATGGTCGCGGCGGTTTTCCATTGTGTGTGCAATGGGAGAGTGTGAAATATGTGTTAATTACACGACAGCGAATGGTCATCGTTAAATTCAAGTGTCTCTCATTAATTGCTCAATTGTCGAGAGATCCAAACGAAATCTCCGGGGTCGACAGGCTCGCATTTGGCCAAAAGCTGAAGTGCCCGCCCGACACACCCATTTCATAATCTTCGGTTTGCCATTTTTAATGCCAAAAGCGTGGACCTTAGCTGGGAAACCTGTTTTCAAAGAACGAAATCGGTGGGAGTTTATCTTGGAATAAAAGAAGTATTGATTTGTGTGGGTTACAAAAAGGTTGGGTCAAATGCTGCTTGAAATAATTAAATTTTAGTCATAACCATATGGTCACGAAATTATAAAATCACTTATGAAAATTTGATCGGCGTATAAAACAATTTTAAAATAATAACTTAAGACTATTATTATATATATTAGGAAATTAATATATATTTATATTAATATATATTATTAGGAAATGACTTTTTTAATTTCTCCGAAGAAATAACATCTTTCTGTATTAGTAGGAATATTAAGCGTTGATAATTTATTTAATGGCCTTAGAGGTTAACTAAAAAATTTCTGCATAACTTTCCTTTTAAATACAATTTTTTTCGAATGTGTAGCACAATAGTGCATAATGATTTTAATAAGCAAATTAAAATTCAAATTCATAAAAATGACTTTTGATTAAAACGTTATTTGTCTTAATTATGACTTTATTTGCGTCTTGCCAAAAATGATCGTAAAAGAACTAAATTAAAATGTTGTATGTGTACATAGCTTGAAATCTATTATAACTGATATAAAACATATTTTCCTTCTGACACACTCATTCCCCAAAGAGAAAATCAGCCACAAAGTGTCAAAACATTTTCGGTTTTTGCCAAATAAAACCTGGAGAACAGCAGTTCGTGCTGTCTTTTTGAGGGCATTAGAAACGATGCCCGCTCATAACTTTCATTCTGCGGAAAAACAAAAGCCTCCGCTTACAAAAGTTGCACAGAACAAAGAATAAATCACACATGCAGATAGAAATAAAGGTTACTGACATGTCAAATGAATGTTTGTGTCTATGCCAGTAGCCTTTTTACCCATTTACGGAATGGGAATGAGATACAGTGGAACTGACAGTCGCAAAACTCCGAATTCATATTTGCTCAGAACTTCAAACACAAAGCTCGCACATTGTGATTGCCAAACGGAAGCGAGTTTAGTTGGTTTAGTCATAGTTGTCTGTGTTTTTGTTTGTTTTGTTTTATTTTGCAGTTAGTAAGTGTGTCAGCTGTAGCAAGCGCTAACAGCTTACTCACGCCCCCACTCCCTCCTTTAACCCTTTTCCCTATTTAGCGCTTCTGGCCAAAAGTGAATGACATTTGCAGAAAATATTTGCAATACGGCATGAAATGGGTGGGAGAATCAGTGGAAGTCAGATGTAGACAGGAAAAAACATTTATGTATGTTCATTTTTCATTTTATCAAAACATAAATATAATACATTTCAGAATCATCATCATCATGTACTCGTCTTGATCTTAAACGTTTTTTATAATTTAAACCATAAATGTTATACACAAATTGTTAACGAAAATAATATTCAATATTAATCTGGTTTTATATCCAAAAAAACTTCTAATTACTAAATGTATATGTAATATTGGAACGACAAATTGACTTCACATATGTTTCATCACAGTGACAATTTATATTTATGCAAATTAAGTTTCTCTACAGAGATTGAAGATCCCATTACGTGCGTAGAGAGAACGGTAAGGGTGGGTCCGATGTGCAAATGATTTTGCTGTAAACAAGTTGAACTCGGCAAAAAAGTTGAATCGAAATGCGAAGAGTTACATAAGTGCGGAGTGGGAGGACTGAAAAGAGCTCTCCGACAATTGTCTCATTATGCAATAGAGCAAAGTGCAACAGCACCAACTCCAACAGAAACGAAAACAATTGTCAACAATAATGGTCGCAAATAGATAAAAATGTTGTCTGAAGTGGGCGTTTAGTGGGCATATCAAAGAATGTGTAGGAGGGCGTGGTGATTTTGTTGAAGTAATTAAAAATGTATATTGGCTAAAAACAAAAATATAAGTGGGTTTAGCTTATTAAAAAAAATGCATAAAAATGTATTCTAATTTATTTATTATATTTATTCAAAATATTTGTTTAATAAGCAATAAGTGCATATAAAATTATAAACAAGCGATTCGCAAAAAAGAAACTTTAACAAAACATGTATATGTTTTATGTATAAGTACTTGTTAAGTTGAACAAGTAAGGGTATTATCTAGTAAACATATTTATATAATGATATTAAGTAGCTAAACAGAGGTCCGTAATGATAAGGGTCTTAAAGAATTTTGAGTTGTTCACCTCTACAACCTACTTACTTCACCTCTGAGAGCACAGATTACAAACTCCGATTTATATTAACATCACTACTACTAGTTTCAAGCAACTGAGTACCGCCAGAAAACCGATCAAACTTTCGATATAGAAAGAGAAACCGCTTGACCAGAGACAAAAGACCCTTCAACAAACATGTGACAAACATTGGAAGTTTCCTTTTCTTATTTTGATAAGCTTACACCGCGACCAACGAAAATCTTCACAATACTTTACACCTTTCACTTCCACTGAGGAGGAGAGTTTCTCCTACTTATTTACAACCCATCAGTGATCAGCACTTGACTGCCACCTTTCTGAGTTCTTTCACATTTACTTCATTCACAGTTTTCTGCAAGTTTGTTTTTGCAGTTTAATATTCTTTCTCTGCTCTTAATTTATCAGGGCATAACAATCTGCAGTGGTGCAGGTTCATTTAAGTGCCATCAATTTGTATGAAGTGAAGGAGAGGTGAGAAGTAAGAAGAACGAATTCTCGGCAAATAAAAATATTGTTTATTTTGGTCAGGCCATAAATAAAAGCCGCGAAATTCTTGGTACATCAACTGTGAGCAATTAAATAGTCAAAAATAAATTTAAACAATGATTACATGACGCACACCTCTCATGTATTTATTTATTTAGAGGGTTGTGGCTTTTGTCGGACAAACGAGAGAGAAATTTAAGCAGTTTAAATCAATTTGAAGGTTTGTTTTACTGTAATTTACCCACTCATTTTGAGGGAGTATATATTGTATATATATTGTGTGTTTTCTAGTTATTGGTTCTTGAAAACTAGTTTTATCTGTGCATTTAATTTAACCTTTGCTCTAATTTAAATTTAAAGGTTTTTTCTCAAACTTCACTGTAAACGTTTCGCCAACTTAACTTAGTAATTTATTCATTTTTTACTACAGAACGCATACATCTGCTTGGTTGATTGCACCTGCCGATGCGATAGGAAAACTAGAAAATGCGACTTATTCTCACTTGGGACCAGTTTGATGGCAATACTTTATTTTTGATGTAGGGGTTCGTGTTCGGTATTCAGTTTCAGATACCGGCTACAGGTACAGCTACAGGTTCAGGTTCGGTTCTGGTCGAGGCACGATTTCAATGTCAATATTTACACGACTGTCGCACCGATAAACATGAAAAGTTAGCATCAGCTTCGTCGTTTATTGCAGTTTTAATTGCTCGGCAGCTTCTTCCTAGTTTGGCCGGTAGAGAAAATATGCATAAAAGAAAGTTTATCTCTTGGGAAAAATCTAATTAAAATACTCATGACATATTAAAATTAATCACGCAGCCAAGCCGCAAAAAGGAGCGCCATCAAAAATAACGAGAGAGTGAAAAGTCGAGCAGATGCGATGGCAGCAGGTCGGAAAAGCGGGAGAAGAGAGTCAAGGTCAGATCGAGGAATCGATAAAAGTTTGTCGCCGCCAGGCTCGGAAAATGAAAATGGAAACGAAGGAGGACACATTGAGGTCACAGAATATTGTTATTGCTGTTGATGTCGGTGCAAAGTCACGCATATAAATGAACTGGCATTGCTCCAGATAGTAGTCATGTACGCAGAAATAAATAATATCAAATATTAGTTAAGTCATTTTATCAAGGTTTATTTTCGTTTCAACTATTTGCATTTGCTTTTCAAAAACTAATCTAAAAGAAACTCAATGATATGCTTCAAATGCTAAAAGGTTTTTAAAAATATTCAAATTTAATAAATCAAATAAAAAAATTTAATTAGATTTTTCAGTGTATAATATTTATCGTGAATATATTTTTACCGCGATGGAGAGGCTACTACGCTGATAGCGGCCCGTGCAGTTCATCTAAAATGATACAGAAAAAGATGGGGGAAATGTTTGGGTCAGTATTCAAGCTCTGTTATTAATAGCCAAAGGTTGATCGAATGAGGGATATGGTTAGATGACCATGATATGTTGAGCACGCCCGCCAAACAAACAGAATCGGAGCAGAGTAGCGCTCATTAAATCGCAGACAACACACGTCAACTCGGGGAAAAGCTTAAACAAAAAATAAAAGTTGCGAAACGATATTTCCGGCGGGGAATGGGTAAAAAAAAAAAACGGTGACCGACACAGAGAATAGAATCACGGAATACAGAAAATAAACAATAAAGAGGAGATGCGCAAAAAGAGCAAGGTAGTTACAATAAAAACGCAAACAAATCAAATGGGGTAGAATTAAATGGGGAGCACGACTAAATAATGACCTCGAATGTGATTACGGTAATATTGTTTATAAAATTTAGCAGTTGAAAGCACACAATTCTTAAATATATAGCTTAGGCATACTTGATTAAAAAAACAGGCAGTTATTAAGAAAAATTGCACATCTTGAATACATGCTAAAACGTACATACATAAAAAATATGAAATTGTATTTAAAAAAACGTCAAAGCTTTGGAAACTAAATATACCTCGCATGTCAAAAATAGATTAGGGTAATAACAGTAGAATATCAAGAACACTTGAGCCATGACCATTTTACCTACTCCACTTCCTATTACAAATTTTCCTCTTACCCCTTTTTTGGACACTTTGAACGTGAAGCTTTCAAAAGCAATAAAAAAAGCATTAATTAAAGGAAATTCCCAGAAGGTTGTGACACACAAATAAAATTAGGCTTGTAAGTAATTAAACAAATTTGGTGATAACACTAAGTGGTAACTTTTAAACTGAACCACATTCTTTTTATTCATACAAACCTAATCTTAAAAATCTAAGCTTAAGCTTCGGCTGTGATTTTGACACATTTCAACATCAGTTTATTGTATTGTCATTTTTGTCCACCTATAAGGAACCTCTTAAGTATATTGTGTATCTTTTTATGTAGAGGTGCTCAGCATAACTGGAAGATGAGGTCATGACTTATAAGGTAGAAGCTGCCTTGAAATGCTTTCCGAATTGGAATACAAAAAAGCTAATTCATTCTCATAAATCTTCCGGTTTATTTTTTGTAGGGACAATATTGTGAGAAAATTATACTGTACATTTTTTTGCAATAATGTTTGCAGTTGCAGTTAAAACCGGACACTAAATAAAATTATCAAGGCTGGTAGGTTTTTAAGTACTTTCTAATGGTTTAGTTATTTACTACAAGGGCCTTGAGTTTGAATTAGTCAACACCTTCCAGCTAACAAAATGCTTTAAGTTCAAATCATTTTCCTATGTAAATTCGGAACGGAATAAACAGTATATTGTTTCGTCAAATATCTTGAGTCGCAGTTTGCAAATGCTTTAAAGTTCCAGACTTTTTTAATTAATTTCCCGCCCCTTTTAGATTCCCTTTGTGGGACCCCTTTATTAACGCAAACCACACACTTGATATTTACTTTGATATCGGATAACAAAATGCGGCACATGTGCGCTGCAATAAGTTAACAAGTATTTTAACAAACAAGGCAAAAACACATAAACAAAATTCCATATGTAAACAGAAAGCGAACCATAAAAATTAACAACAAAAAAAGGGTTATACATGGTTAAGTAATGAACTGATGTTTTTGGAAATGGAACTCCATTAGTTTGACCCGCTGAACTACATTAAAACGACGAAATGTTGACTTTGCGACGAAATATTTAATTACTGTGGTTTGAGGGGGAGAAATTTTCCTAAAAAGACTGTCATTTTGGATGTGCAAAACGCTGTGACAGGTTGAAATGGGGGAACGACTCATTGCAACCCACTCAACCGCCGAACCACTCTTCTTTTTATTGGTGCTCAAGCTATCTATCTATCGACAGTTGCTTATTATGGCTTGATTGCCTGTCGGCTTGGTTGATTGCTGCTGTAAGTCAACAATTGCTTATCATTTGGCTTCGACTCTCACTTTACGCACTAATTGAATTACGAGTTTGAGAAGAGGAACGAGAACCACACACACTCTAATTGACTTTGGAAGCGTGGCAAATGGCGCTCTAATATGGTACTCTTTTGGGGCCGTAATAATGCAATTAGTGGTTACTATCAATACAGGGAGACGGATGAATATACATGTGAATCTGATTAGTCGGCAACACGTGGGCGAAGCACCCAAAAATGAAGTCACACCCTAAGCTCAAGCTTGTTTTGTTTACAGAAATACAAGGGAACGTCATAAGAACGTACAGTCTATTTTCCTTTACCCGAGCAATAGTTTTATTGGCAAGACGGACAGAAAAATAAATTGAAATTCTAACAAATGGTATGAGCTGAAGGAAAATAGCATAGCCTACAACTTATAGAAAAATATAAAATAAGTTATAAAAAATGTATTAAAATATTCATTTCGTATTTATAACATAAATACATACTTTTAATAGGAGTTGAACGAATACAATTTTTGTTTGTGATTAGACACTCTATAAAAAATGATTTCGTTTAGCGTAAATAAAGCCATCAAACCAGTCAAAACATCTTCCTTAGGGAGATATCACTGTGTTTAAGCAGTGATGATGTTTAACATGAATATAAACAACGTGGAAGCTGCAGTGTAAATTTAAATCTCACGGCCTTGACGGATTCTTCTCTCTTGGGGCCTCTCTTCTAAACTAATCAGAAACCGAAATCGAGTCTCTTGCGTCCCTCTTTTACAACAACACATATGTATGTATGTAAGTAAAGAATTACGTGGAGATAAATAACAAGTTTTCCCTTTCCCTAGCACTTTTTTAATGCTGACTTTTCTTATGCAACGACTGATGGATGAAATGCTTTGCCTTATAAAACATTATGATCTCGATGATATGTGCTAAGTGAAAAGAAAATATTATTAAAATTCAAAGCATTTGGATGTGTGCCAGTCAAATAAAAATATATGCACGTGTGTACAGCTGTGGCAGAAAATATAAATACATTTCATCTGTGTATTTAACTAAGCAATAAATTTACAACATTGGAGCCGTTAATAGACAGGTATTTTTAATATATTGTAAAGGAAAAAATTCAAATTCAAAAATATAACAATAACATGTTAATATTATTTGATATATTTTGATTAAACAATTGAAAATTTAATATATTATTCTAGTAATTTGACCACAACTGTATGTGTTTTTGAAAGAGTGTTGCAATATAAAAAAAAATGCGTTTAAAGTGGGAAGATTTGTTGAATATAGCTGGCACACAAAGTCATTTGCATTCAGACAAATTCTATATAATTTCTTTTTCATTTATAATGCTTACATACAAATATCCCACGCGTTACGACAGAAAATAAAAAACAAAAAGAATGGAAGAAGGTAAACAAAACAAAAGGTGACATGCATTACTGGAGACACACCCACACCCGTACAAAAAATAAAAACTGCACTTGTAAAACCAAAAATAAATTTGTGAAAACACGGGGGGAGCGAACGAGATGGCAATAAAAGGTGTAATAAGGGAATTCAGAACTTACCAATACTGCGCTCTCTCGCACCAACTGAGAGACATTCTCCCTCATCTGCACCGCTGAGCCGAGCTTATTTAAACCGCGCGTAAACTTACGCTCCATCCTGCTCGCTCTTTTTAGGGACAGGGATCCAAAGGCGTCACAAGTTGTTGTTGTTTGGCTCTCCTACTGTTGCTTTTGTTGTTGTTGTTGTTATTGTGCGAAAACCGGCAGTAATTCAAAAATAGAGACACACACACACGCACACACCAGCGCAGTCAGGATGCGCTGTCGACTGCGCAGTCGACGTCGCTGCCAGCGATGACTAATACTTTATCCTTCTTTCATTGACTTTTCCGTCACTTTTCCTCACTTTTTTTCTTAACACGATTATTTGTTGGTGAAGGATTTACCTGCGAAATTCTTTTTTATCCATGTTATACACAAAACATTCATACAGGCACGCCGGAATTCCCACGCCCATTTGGGCAAAAATTCGCGGGTGGCAAGGGGTACTTGCGAAAAAAACACAAACACCCTCGGTAAATATTTTTATCAGCCGTTTGGCATCCCGGAGATTATAAACAATATATTTTAACGAGCTATGCACAGCTGTTTACACGTTTTTTTTAAAGGGTTGATTTTTGGTAATTTACGTGCGTTTGTGGCATTTAAGGTGTTTTTTGCGTTTTGCAGCGGCGATCTGAACGAACTGTTTGCGGCGTGAAGCGATGTATCTTTTTGAAAGTATCTTTTTGAGCGCGGAAAACGCGGAAAGTCGGAGAGACTCAACACACACGTCCGATTTCGTCGACTCACTCAGCGGTTTTCTCAGACTTTGAAATACATTTGCATTTCTCTGTTAACTTAAATTTCTCTGTTAGTGCGACATTTGGCTAACATTTCTCTGTTAGTTCGACGTTTGGCTAACATTTTTCTGTTGGTTCGACGTTTGGCTAACATTTCGCTGTTAGTACGTTTCCCTAATATTTCCCTGTTAGTTCGACGTTCTCTGATAATTTGACGGTTTGCTAACATTTCTCTGTTAGCCATTTCCTAACATTTCTCTGCTAGAGGTGGTTTCATCGATGTTTGGCTGGGCAACACGAAGTTTTTCCATCTCTACTGCTAAAATACTAAATTTAACATCGTGATAAGGCGGATCTTGGAAAAATTGCATTCAACATTGGTTTTTTCCTTTAGCTGTTTATGGTGATTTCGATTGGTTTGTTAATTTAACAAAGTCTGCGAAACCAACCTAAATATTTATAGAACTATAGAACAAAGTGTTACCAACAACACAGATCAAAATATAGGTGTTGTCCGCGCTTTGAGTTTGCCAATAGAAGTAAAGGCATTATCATTTGGGGTCATAAAATATGGAACTTGCATCATCGAGCCGGCGACGGAAACCGAGTAACCCAGTCCATCATCCACAAACGAGTTTAATAGTCCGAAAAAGTTTTCGTCAAAATACATAAGCAACCTAATGTCATATAAAATCATTTAATGACCTTTCTTCTTACAAGAGCTAATTGCTATGAAACTAAAAGGTGTAACAATCGAAGTATTTACTTGCATGGAGGTTGTACTCGCTAAGAGTGGATTGCTCAGTGGGAAAGTTGTCTTCTCTAAAGAGAAACTCTAGCATCGACTTAAACCATTTGGCTAATGTCTTGCTTGGTATTTAAAACAAAGTCTCGTTGTATTTTGAAAACATATATATTTTTGATTGTTATGAAAGTCATCTCTACCAGACTTACAAACCGGAAACCCAACTCAAACGAAAACAAAAACTGAAAATTGTCCCTTCCTCAGAGACTTATCCTCAAGACAAGTCTTAACTTACTATCGTCAAGAGCACCCAAAATTTGCTTTATGTCTTACAATAGTAAACTTTTTACCCATTTGAAATCCATTAAAAACACAATAGTCAATTGTTTATATATTCCATATATTTTGCATATATTTGTTTGATTTTTATACTTTACACAATAAAAATGATAATGCATCTCAACAAAAACAATTATTCGCGCGGTACTTATCGGATAGATTTCAAAGACAAAATTCATGCTTGCGTGTAACTTTTGCTTTTGGAATTAATTTCCCATCTACTACTTGCTTGGTTTCATTTTGCGTTGCTCTCATTTGTCGGTTATTGGTTCTTCAGTAATCGATTAGAAATAAAAATAGTCATAGTTAATTTCGACAGATCCGGATATGGATCGAGAATTATTAGTCGCTCCTACACATATGTACATTGAATGCGGCATGCAAATTCTTTTCGTGAGTCATCAATTCACTGATGTTTCTGCGTTTGGTTAAACTTAAGTCATAATTAATTAACATATAGTTTAGGTAAAAGTATTTAAAGCAACTTAAACTTAAGATTAAGAGTTCCCTCTTTCTTGTTTATTTCGCGGTCTGCTTTTGTAGAGTGTTTAAATTTAAAATCATAAATCGATTATAATTTAGTTATATTCCATTATGGGGATGAAATGTGAAGCGAGAGTCACAGTAGCAGTCACGACAACAGTAACAGTTTACGGGTGCGACTAACGAACGAGTAACGGTTTTGTAAACCTCAAAACTTTGCTACATGTGTTTTGTTTTTCTTGTGTGTTTTGTGATTATTATCATAATATATCGATATCGATCTCTGTGTGATGCTTTGTGATTGATCGCTTTCTACTTAGGTTAAAGTGGGGATGGGGTTCTGGAATTGGTTTAGGGTTTAGGGTTTGATGATTTAGGGTTAGGATTAGGGTTGTTTTGTTATTCTTGCGTTAAATATGCTTAAAGTCTTATTTTATATATTTGGTGTACTTTTTTGAGTTTTGTGTTCTGTTTTCGTTTGCTGTTTTATCGCTTTGTTTAGTTTAGTTTGTAACTGTTTGTATATAGTATATATAATAACTTGTCCATGCGCATGCCTGCTGCAACCTGTCCGATCTCTGGTGATCTGCATCTACAGCTACATAAACTAAATATAATACAGTTTTTGTTTTTCTTTTTGTTTGGGGTTGATTTGTTGTTGTTTTTTTTTTTTTGGGAGGGGGCTTCGCCAACTGTCTGCTCAATTCAACTCTCCAAACGGCTCTTCGATCCGATCTCTTTATCCAAAGTGTTATACACGGCACAGTGGTTACTCCTTTTCCAGCCTTCCTGCCACATCCAATCCAATAATCAAAGGCTTGCGTTGGACGCTTAGATGGGCGATATGGAGAGTGGTGCTGAAGCTGTATCGGGCATATACTCCTTGAGAAGGTCCCGCAGTCGAAGGATCTCCCTGCCAGCCGCCGATAGATCGCCTTGCAGAGAGAGTTCCCGCTCCCTAAGTCGCTTGATGTCGCGCTGACAGGTCTGTAAAAATAAAATATTCAAATTAGTACATATTTTAATCGAATAAAAATAGAAATAAAGTAGGACATTTCTAAGGCTTAAGATGACGGTCATGAGCTAAAGTTTTAGATTTAAGAAAAAAACCTATTATTAAATCCTACTAAATCCAAGTATTTCATACTCAATTTTCATTTTTAAGGCCGTGATTTTCATCTATTGCAGTTTTTTAATAATTTTAATTATGGATTATTTCCTTTTTATTTTTACAATTTAAATCTTATACTTTTAACATTAATTTAAATATTTTAAAATCAATTTAGGCAATTTAGTATGATTTTGAACTTGGTTAATATATAGTTATTAGTTTTGAGTACCCACCACATTCTGTCTGAGTAGATCCAGCTTGTCGCACTTCAACCGCGTGACCTCCTGGCGCAGGTTCTCGATCTTGACGATCGTCTCGTTGCTGGGCGAACTACCCATCATGGTGGACTGGACGCCATCCAGGCACAGCGAACAGGCCTTGGTGGTGGCCTCCGCCGAACTCATGCTCTCCAGTCCAGTATCACTGTCTATGTAGGTGGCTCCGCCATCCAAGTGGGCCATCATGGGGTCTAGATCCACGCTGTTCAGGCTGGAATCATCGCTGGTTTCCGACATGGTGGCCACGGCAACTACTCCATTTTGGGCGGCACTCACTGCCGCCGCCGCCACGCCCACTGCGGATCCATTTTGGGGCAAAAGACCGCCATTGGAGCCGTTGTTGTTGTTCGCTTGCCGGGATGTAATGTCCGGAGATGAGGAGGTGGATTCATTCGAGGACTTGGACTTGGATGATGACTTGGAGGCCGTGCGGCTGCAGGACTGTAGGGGAAATTCAAATTAGTTCTTGATTTCAAGACTTTGTAAAGGAAACACTTACATTCAGATTGGGTGTCTGCATTTCGGGATGTGCCTCCTTCTTGGCATTCAGTGTGCCCAACTTGGTGTTCACGCTAAACTTGTCCGTTTGTCCGGGTCCATGACCATTTCCGGTATCCACGCTCTGCGACCGCACCCTCATAATCAAGGCCTTCTTCACGGTGTCGATGAAGCGTGAGCCGGCATTGCCGCCACCACCACCTTCCGCCTTTGGGGTTTCGGGAGTGGGACTTCCTGCCGACGTCTGGGTAAAATCGGCACCCAGAAAATCGCGAGTCTTCTCCCGCAGTTCCTCTACCAAATTCTGCAGCAACGAGGTCCTGGTGCGCTGCTCCAACTTGGCAAACTTCTCAGCCTTGTAGCACGCATTCTCCGCATTGATCAGTTTGGTCAGGATGAACTCCTTGAATTCCTGACCCTTGCGGAAGACGGCGGGATTGGGCAGCGTGGGACCAAAGAAGGGCACATCGTCGCGGGCCGTAACGCTGACCTTGTAGCGGGTATGTGGGGTATTCGGCTCAATGGGCTGGACCACGATGAAGGCGTGCAAAAAGTGACTGGCGATCATGTCGGGCGAGAAGGGAGTGTTGGTCTCCTGGAAAACGATGGCCACAATATCATTGCCAATGTGTCGTTTCCTTTGCAATTGCTGCGGATCGCCCTCGGTGTGGGGCAATAGAGTTGATACATGGAACATGATCTCGCGCTCCTTGAAAACCTCATAGACAGCTGTATCGCCCGTATGACCATTCTGGATGTCCAGTCCTCCCCTGTAGCCCTTGTGATCCTTGAGCCTGATCCGCTGACCCAACACGTCCAAGAACTCATCGAAGGCTGGCGATGTCTGCTGGTTACCGAAGAGTTCCTCCTCCGTGGTCTGTCCATATCTTTGGTAGAGCACTCCGAACTTGAAATGCGAAACGAGGACATGTTCGTCGTACACGCTGATGAGTTGCGATGCCTTGGGGCACAGAACGGGCATAAAGTTCTCCACCGTTATTGAGGGATTCAATGTTTGTGCCATTTTCGCCGGACTTGGCTGCGGCAGCAGGTATGAAACCGGAATGAGCTCGTGCATCGTGCCAGTTCGCAATCTCATCAGGATTCGCATGTGCTCCTGGTTGGCCACATTTTCCGTTTTGATCGAGATCAAAATCGGGCCCAACTGCTCATCCTGTCCCACCAAATTCGAGTGCTCCCTGGCCGCATAGAATCTTCGATAGCATTTGGCCGTGTCGTCCGTCTCGAACTTGGCCATCCAGGTGGTCTGCGGCAACAGGGGATTTCCCCTGGCATCGTAGCCACACTCGTGTTCGGTGCCATCCATCCAGTAGCCACCGTTCATGGGCAGCAGGATCATGGGATAGGGGGCCGACTTGGCCAGCGCCTCATCCAGCAATCTCTGTGAGGCGGGAATGGCCGAAACGATCGACGAGTTGGAGCTCACCGACGACTGTGATTGGTAGTGGTGTCCGTTGGACAGCAGCTGCACCCCACTCAACTGCGGCGAGGCGGGCGTGGAGCTGCAGGCGGAGCCCGAGACTGTGGAGCTGCTCGAGTGGTTCATCGAGTGGCGCAGTGTTGCCCGCGATCCCGAGTGCTGCAGCCCACCGTTGTGCGGATGGGCGTGGCTGTCGTGGGGCGAGTGCGGCTGGGGCACGCGCTCCTCACTCGTATTGCTGCCGCGGTGGTGGTTCTGCAATAAAGAATACAAAATGTTAATTAGTTTCATTTGAAACTTTGTTACTGAACAAATTTTTAACATAGTAATGGAAGCCAATTAAATATCTAACTCTTTCCTATCAAATTTTCATTGATTTTCAGCTTAATACACATAGTAATTAAATTTAAATATTAGTTTTATAATAGAATGAAGTTTAAGCATTTCCAAAAATATATAGCTAAATAAAAACTGCAATTTAAATGTTAGTTTAATTCGAAATATTGTTATAGAATGAAGTTTAAACTTAAGCCCTTCAATAAAATATTTTATTAAAAATATAGAAACAGAGTCTCAAATGAAAATCACATCCTAAGCTAATCAGATTGCTCAGAGTTGTTCAGCTTAAATAAAAAACCTTAAAATACAGACAATGCAGCCCAATCCTGGGCGGAAATAAATATAATTTTCCCTTGCCAATCTCTGCCAGTACGAAACTGGCTTGATTGTTCGGCGGGATAGTGTGTCAGAGATCCATGTGTGGCACTCTCCGCACAACTGGGGCCCGATTATGTGTGTGGAAGGTGGGTGTTGGTGCCACAGTGGAGCCTCCCACATGCCGACGGGCGGAATTAGAGGCTCTGCAGCACGGCTGCATTATAATTTCATGCAATTATCGTCAGTGAAACCCGCCTCCGCCTCCTCCGATCCGCTGCTCCATATGCAAATGTGCCGGCCTCGAGCCATGTGGATGGATTGGATAATGGCAGAGTGGTGGCGGTGGTGGTGGTGCAGTTGGTTCGCCAGAGTGGTGCACAAACTGTCGATGCCTTTGCAATTTTGTTGGCACAAACTATTTGCCAAAGCACCAAACAAATATGGCAGTGGGTGGAAGGGGCGTGGATTACGTGATGGATTTGCAGAGAGGAAACCCCGTTGGTTTGAATTTTTGATAACATTAAGCCAACATTTTCATTTGACATGAACGAGGCTGCCGCTCCCCATTTCCTTTTCAATTCCTGGCGCCACTCGAAGCTTTTGTCTGGTCGAAACGAACCCGCTCTTTAACCCTCGACCCTCCTTTAACCCATGGCTCCTAAACAAGCAAGCATATTAAAAAGTTTTCTTTTATTTTGCAAACAGTTTTTCCATTTCTGGGATTCTTTTGTTGCACTTTAGGGCGCGCTGGCCTGCAGCCAAATGTGGCACGTACCCAAAGGGGTTAAAGGGAAGGGAAGGGAAGGGGGTAAAGGGGTTAGGGTTCATCGATAGTTCGTGCCATGATTTAATAGTCTGCCGGCTGCCAATTGCGAACTGCAGCTGATGGCTGGAAATAATGAGCCGAAGGAAGTAGGAAAATGGTAAAAATAACCTTACAGAGGATTGCCCCCCCCCCCATTTGTTAAATGGAAATAATGAGCCAAGTTAAGATGGAAAATGTAGAAAAAGGAAGACAGTTTGGCAGGCACTGGGAGGTCACCACCTCTCACTTCTTTCTGCAATCGATTGAAGGTTAACCGATTCGATTATTCAAATTCGCGTTGTGTGCCATTCAAGCCGAGTTTCCAGTTAGCTGACTGCACCGCTAATGAATTGCATTGTCAGTCATTTGAGTGCATATCCAATGGATTTTGACATCCATCGCTCAAGTATGCATATGTATCTGTATCTGTATCTGTATTTGTTTTTGTATCGCTATCTGTATCGTGTGAACCAAACTATGGTCTAAAACGAAATATGCAAATGCAGTTTCCTACTACGACTGTAACTCCCTTATTGCAGACAAACAAAACGAATGTGGCAATTGAGGAAAATTAATAAATTTTGTTTGTAACCCTAGTCAGTCGATGGGCGGGGAATTAAATGGAAACTGGAGCTATGGTTTAGTGGAGTGGGATAGTTGCAGATATTGCTTATAGACCCGGTCACGTCACACGCTTAGTTGGCTTCATTTGCTGAGGGCGGTTGCCCTTTTAATGTTTGCTTAAATGGGAAATGGGAAAACGACTGAGGGTCGGTCACCCAACCCCGAAAATAGATAGTTAGTTGGATAAAACTGTCTGCTGTGGTTGGGTCAACAAAAGAAGTCAGCGGGTAAGTGACTCATCTTAATCAGGAATATCCCTCTGTTTTCCCTTCAGTTAATTTGTCAAGATATCCACTTTGGCAATTGGTTTTGGTTTTGGTTTTGGTTTCTGTTTGGTTTGTTCTATAAGATCTATGTAATTAGGAAACCATTTGTGCGGAGGCTGCCAGAGAAGTATTAAGCACAAGCAGACAACAACTACACAAACCGGAAAATGCCAAAGTTAAATGTAATAAAGTGGAAAGCATGACGAATGTAGAACTTGTACAAGAACAAGAAACTCGCTTCTGACAAATGATCATTCCGTTTCCCGCCGAACAATAATGACAATCATAACGCCAATGATGATGTTTATGTGCCGATTCCGAAGAACTTAAGCGGATTACATTCAGCATGAGTACGAGTACACGAGCCACAAGATGTGGAAAAGTGTTACGAGCTCAGAGCAGAAAAAAAGCAGACACAACACAGAGCACTGAGCAGAAATGGAACCAAAGTGAGGCGAGTTGAAAGAGGAACTACAACCATATGGCAACCTGAAGAGGGGCATGAATTACACTGAGAATTTAAATTATATACTTATAAAAGTAAGAATAATTGTTAAACAAACTGGTAGCACTTGATAACAATAAACCAATTTATTTGGTGTCTTTCCGAATTGTAATCTTTAACTTTAACTTTTGAGTATTTAAGATAATTTATAGTTAATTGTAATTTCTATAGCGCTCATATTAAACTGGCATGCATTTAATTACTAAAACAATTAACCAATTCAAATGGTGTATTTTTAATTTGTAGGCTTTATTATTTTGAGTACACCCTTTTTCTCTCTGTAGAGTGGCATTATTTCGAGGTTAATGGGGTAGTGGCAAGAGATGAGGAACTTGCAACGAGTGGAAAGGGCAGCCCCTGGCAAAGTCATCTCCTGCATTGAACAACCGATTTGCATAAGGCGAAGGACAGCGGTTCCTCGTCGGGACACCTCCATATGTGCAAAAAAAAAATCCTGCGACGCTGCCAAAGTCAACAACGCTTCCTTGTTGTTTTTATTGTTGCTGTTCAAGTGCAGGCAGCCGTCATTAAAAATGTGCATTTTGCATTCAACGCCCTCGTCTTTCTCACACCATATAAACAAAAAAAAATAAAGTATAACAAAAGCGCAGGAAGCAAAAGAAAAGAACGAATAAAGTGGGGAAGGATGTAAATCATCAGTTGAGTCTTAAAGCCACTGCAGTGCTTTGCAAACTGTTAATGCTATATTGTTATTCCTTTTTCGCCTTTTGTGAATATTTTATGCAGTTCACATTGCTCAACTCAGAAAGTGTGACACATACGAGTTTCCCCAAGTGATTGATATATGTATGTTGTCTACGCACGTGAGACAAATGGAGGGGGACCAGGAGATATATGTGTGTGTATGGCGACAAATCCCAATCCCCAAGTGCAGCCCACTCCCCACATGAATTATTTCTGTCTCCGAGGGTGATTCAAAAACACAAGCCAAACTCGAGATTGAAGTGCTTAAATCAAAATCGCATAAATCACAAATGCCACAAGTCAAGAGTGAGTGTCAAACTGTGCTTGGGATATGAAAAAGGATTATAAACTGTGGAAACATAAAAGAAAGCTGTAATAATTCACATATCTCCTGTTATTTAAGCTTAGAATTTCCCGCTGTAATAAGTAAGATTATAAAGATATTTTCCCAACGAAAACAGGCCCTTGTAAAAGTAATTAAACTCAATCTCAAAGAATTATCAAAGATCACAAGTTTAATTTATATAAAGCAAAAACCGCTACACTCTTAAAACAAAATCGACTAATGAGTTCAGCTCCAGCTGCGACGCACTTTAGAAGCCATTGAAAGCTGATCTTTTAACTTAAAATTCTCCACACGTTTGAGTGAGTCGAGCTGAGCACACGATTGTTATGTTTGAAACGCTTTCACAAACTTTATTAACATATACTCATAGTCTTTCTTATCGTTCTGCGTTGAGCAGAACAAAATAAGTGTTAAAATGGGTATAAAAAAAAAACTTCACATATCATAAAATGAAATATAAAATTCCTAGAAGCTTAGCCACTGCAATTGGAATGAGATCATGTCGCGAGTGTATAAACGAGTGTATAAAGTGAGCTCACACACAGTTTGGGGGCGTTTTTGTTTGGCCAAATTCGCTTTGGCAACTGGTTCATTGATATTCGTGTTTTGTTGAACGATTATTGAACACCAAACACGGCCTAAATATGGCAATCATTGAGTGTTGTTGCTACAGTTTGGCGACATTTTCATTAGCGAAACAAAGTAAAAACGTAAAAATTGTATACCAGAAAGCGAAAGGCAGCCAAAAATGGTTTCAAGATTGCCGTTAATTATGCAAGCTACCACCTGATTGATTTTTAAGATCCCCTAATTAATAAAAAATCACATACATTATTTGCGGTTTAAGTGGTTAGTTTAAAAATAGATTTTTAATTGCAGTTCGGTGTTCGGAGTTGGAAGTCGCAGTTCGAATTCAAGTTGCATGTGAACCTCTCGGTGGTGAGTGACCCAATTTGTGCGCACTGAACCCAACACCCGCTTCGAATTTTATCCAGCCATAGCTTGTGTGTGCAGCATAAAATTAGCTGCGACGGTTCCAAGGCAGAATCAAGAGGGCCCGAGAAGCCAAGTCCATTCCCACACGCCCACGGGAAGCAATTTTCCCCCGATCTGAGGTAACTCGAAAGGTATGAGGAGCATGACTTCATGTCACGGCTTTATGAGCATCGGAAAAGATGGGGAGAGGTTGTGAGGGTTGCCGTAATAAGATATTCAGCAACTCACACAAAAACCGAGGTGGAGTTATACTGGAAATTAATCGTAGTGTCATCAAGTGAATTTTTTTGGTAGAATTATTAAGCAAGAGTTAGGTTATTCGAAAAATTAACTAGTTTGTAAGGAGACACT